ACATTTACAATTGTAGTGTAAAATAAGACTTTTAATCTATAGTTTTAAAGGTGCAATGTGTAACTTTTCTTGTGGGAAACCATCAGAATGTCTCCATGGAGCTGAACTGTTCCATGAATCATCTGTCTTGGATTTACGTCACTGTATAGGTGAGTTTCATTGTTGACAAAAGCGCGCGTTGCATGCTGGGAATTATTTTGGTCGGCGGCAAGAAACACTAATTCAACATGACGGACGGAGCGAGAAAGCACGTAAAGGGTATTGATCCCGGTTATTTATCCACTCTAACGGCAGAGGACCCAAGACCATTTGACCAGAAATTGGTCATAAGCATCGACGGAGCCAAATCACCCTTTTCAACCCCGACAAAAGGTGGAACAAACCAAATTTCTGGTCAGAATCACCAACTACCTGGACAAATATTCACTTTGGTGATATCCACAATGACTTGGTGGAAACTCCTGGGCCATTCACAGCAGAAAAGATGAAAACCTCCAAGAGTCTCGATGTGTTGTTGAACTTGTTGGAGTCCACGGTTTGTTAGGATCTTCTACGTTTGCTCTGTGAATGTTTGAAAGTCGTTTAATTCACCGTTAGCGGTTCTTTTCACTCAGAATACGAAACTGACATTTTCCTTCTTCCGTGCTTCTATTTGTGCATCCGATAATGCAGCAGGAATTTACCATTATTGGGGATAAATACGCGAGGTTACGCACTGTGTTTGACGCTACCCTGTGTTTCTTGCCTCCGACCAAAATATTTCCCAGCAGCAACGCGGGCTTTTAATAACAATGACGTCAGCTGAACCTCGCCTATACAAGGGCTGGGTGATACGGGGAAATTTTTTTTTTTAAAAAATAACTTTTTTTATTTTATTTTTTTCCCCATATTGATCTATCTCAATTCTCAATCTCAAGTTTTGATTCCATCTTATTAAAAACATAGACGTGTGGACTTTAGACATAAAGAAGCAGGGTGTCAGGGTCACTACAGTTTTTATTTCGTGTTGATAGGACCAATAATTCCAGAGAAATACGTCCACGCAGAAACATGTGCAATGTCTGTGCGCTCAATGAGGTCTTAAGTTTCACTCCTAAACTGTGAGAAAATAGTCGTTTACTTTCTATAACTTGGATTATAATGAAAAGAAGCAACAGAGGAGAGAAAGAGGAGAAAAGGTGAGAATCTGTGGCTGGATCAGAGAAAGCGTCAGACACCACCACCACCACCACCACACACACACACACGCACGCACACACGCGCACACACACACAAACACACAAACACACACACACACAAACACACACACACACAGAAAGGGAGAGGGACACTGGATTTTTAATCAAATTGTGCAGATTTAAGTCAAAACTTGTGAATCAGGAATCAGCTGGAAATTGCCCCTGAATTGTGCCATTAATTAAACTAAGTAAGTTTTTTTTTATTATTTTATTTATTTATTTATTTCGGTCACAGGTATATTTTGACATTAATTCATAAACAGTCATATTTAACATACACAGACCGAAAAGGTGCAGGCTGAAGCTTAAGCTTATTCTGCCTTTACCCTTTATTCCTTTGTCAGAGCTTCATCTTGACACCAGTTCATCTTCATAAATACAGCAGGAAGAAACAAGCTAATCAGTAACAGAACAACAAAGTTCTACAGCACAAACTAAGTCTCATATTTCATGTATCTGTCCAGATTTAAACATTTAAACTTCTTTATGAAGTGAAAGAAAGTGGTGCACAATTTTAGGTTTTCTGTACGTTTGTTCCAGAGCTCCACCCCTTTAACAGATTTACAAAATTTCATAATGTTTGTTCTGTTTTTCTTTTTAATAAACATGGTCGTGCCTCTGAGCTCATATCGGCTATCTCGGATTTTGAACATGTTCTGTAACGATTTCGACAGGAGATTGTTGTTTACTTTGAACATGATTTTAAGAGTGTAAAGGTCGACTAAATCATAAAATTTCAGCGTTTGAAGGTTTATAAATAATGCATTGGTTGGTTCGTTATAAGTTGATAATGTTGATTGCTCTTATTGCCTTTTTTTTTGTAGGGTAAAGATTGGCTTTGTATTCGTCTTATATGTATTGCCCCAAATCTCAATACCGTAGGTTATGTCGGGCATTACCAGCGAGTTATATATAATAAAAAGACTGTTTTTATCTAGGGTATATCTATATTTATATATAATTGCGATCACTTTGGATAGTTTGTTCCTAATTGTATTTATGTGTGATTTCCAGTTTAAATTATGATCTATGGTTATTCCTAAAAATTTATTTTGAAAGACTCTTTCTAGTGGTGGATTATTGAGCATAATTTGTACATGATTTTGTACTTTTCGCTTTGCAAATATCATAAATTTAGTTTTTTCTATGTTTAGCGATAATTTATTAATATCAAACCAAACTTTAATTTATATACATATAAAATCATTATGTATATTGTATTAATAACATTATAATTATGAATTGCCAATATTCTCCTCAGTCCATCTGCAGAACTTAGAGAGTGGGTCTTCAGATGATAAAAGTTTTAGGCTGCAATCACAGGTAACGGCTGGGTGTACGCTGACCTGAGTCCATATTCCGTTATCTTCCTGAAGACATCATCACCTGGCCATGGCATCAGTGCGTGACGCGGCCTACTAAAGGCTGGTGAGAATGTCCCCCATCTCCCAGACACAGCAGTTACCCGTGTGCTGCCCAAGAGAAGAGGCGCCTGGAATGAGGAGCCTTCAGTTCTAATTAGTTTTGTGTGCTTTAATTTATTTTGCTGGCCGCCCTGGTTCCTGCTGTGGGAGGCCTGATCCGTGACTAGTGGGGCACTGCTACACCTGGCCATCCTGCCTCACCTGCAGACTCCTCCCCCCGTTTAAGGAGACTCCAGCACCTGCTCACGGCTCCTGGTTTTGGTCTGCAAGTCTGCCATTTTGTGTTTGTGTGTGTCTCTTTCATGTCAGTCATTTGTTTTGTACTAGTCTGTGTCTTTGACTTTGTTTTGTTTTGACACTTGTTTAGTTTAGTTCTGTTTTGTGCCTTTTTTAATTTGTCACTCGCTTCTGTTTGTGGCCTTGTGTGGTTTTACTTTGGGGCATTTGTGATTAAGTTTGTGTGTGTCCCTTAGTTTTAATCTCGTTTTTGTGTAAGCCTGTATGTTAATCCTGTTTTGTTTCTTAGTTTAGGTAATTTTCTGTATATATTTTAGTCTGTTTTAGTTAATTTACCTTTTACACCCCTGTTGATTAAACATTATTTTATTTATTCCATTTTGCATCTTGGTTATTTTGTTTTACTTCGCTGACCTAAACGAGCTGCTCAACTAGAAAAGCAGTCAGAGAGCGCAGACCTCCGCCAAGGACTACCCCCATTTTTTATATAAATTGCGATAAAATCAGTCTTCTGGATCAGATCCGGATCAGCCTTTGGAATATGAAAGAGGATCCCATTGTCCATCCCTGAGTCAAATTTCATGGGGTTTGGTCAATAATTAACCGAGATATTGAGAAACAAAATTTTTGGCCCCATTTACCACAATGTTAACTAAAATTTCAAAGTGATCCAGAATCCAGGATTTCTTCCGGATCAGCCCCAAAATGAAAGGTAAGGCAAGTTTATTTGTATAGCACAATTTGTACACAAAGTAATTCAAAGTGCTTTACAGAATAAGAAATACATTAAAATCATAATAAAAACAAATCAAAACATAAATAATCGTGAAGATTAAAATAAAAAAGAGAGACATAAATTGGAGAGAAGAGTGCGGAATGAAAACCTTTCAGTTATTTGCACAGTTAAACAGAAATGTTTTGAGTCTGGATTTAAACAGCGTCACAGAAGAGTCTGTCTCACATGTTCAGACTGTTCCAGGTTTTAGCTGCATGAACCTGAAACTCTGACTCCCCTTGTTTAGTCGTGACTCTGGGCACCAGCAGGAGTTGGTCCCTGAGCTCCTCAGAGTGTGAGATGTTCATATGACACTAACATGTCACAGATGGACTTTGGTGCTCGGCCATGGAGAACTTGTACAAGCAGAGCTGCTTTAAAGTGTCTGAGCCACAGGAGCCAGAGCAGAGACCTGAGACCAGGACTTATGTGCTCGTACTTCCTAGTTCGAGTCAGGACCCGAGCTGCAGCGTTCTGGATGTTCTGGATGTTCTGGATGTTCTGGATGTTCTGCAGCGTCTCACAGCTCGTTTGGAGAGACCAGTGAGCAGAACATTACAGTATCTAATCTACTGGAGACAAACACATGGATAAGTTTCTCCAAGTCTGATTTAGACAGTAAACCTTTGATTTTCGCTATGTTTTTTAGATGGTAAAAGGCTGCAGATGTTATTGATTTGATGTGGCTGTTAAAGTTCAAGTCTGAGTCCATTATTACCCCGAGATTTCTTGCCTGAAAGCAGTTCTTCCTTTTCACATTTCCAACAAATCCTGAAAATTTCATCAAAATCGGTCCATAACTTTTTGAGTTATGTTGCTAAAAGACAAACAAACAAACAAACAAACAAACAGACAAACGCCGGCAAAAACATAACCTCCTTGGCGGAGGTAAAAATACCTTGAAAAACATGCATAGATACATTTAAAGTTTCTATATTATGCAAAATTGACTCTTGTCAGCTTTAAGTCACGTGTTTTCTGTTTGAGAGAAGAAGAAAGAGCCTAAATCTGCAGAGTTTGTGTGTTCAACATGTGTGAATGAGACAGAAAACAACTCCAGCTCTGTTTGTGATCAGGAAATAACATTATAACATAAATCAGATGCCAATGAATGTACAGAATTTTAGGGAAACTACTAACATAACTCCATGGAGACAGGCAGGTGGCAGATCCTCCACTAGAAAACTTACATAGTTCATTTTTAAGATCAACTTGAGCAGCGCAGCTCTCACCGAGTCCCTGTAGAGACCACTAATGATCTGAGAGAGGCTTTTTGGGCTTATAATATCTCAAGTGCTGGAAATCACGTTGGAGTACTTTTCTTACCGTTTTGCTGCATCCGGTTGAGCTGAATATGTGGATGAGCGAGGATTTGGGAGAGGGAGCGCAGTCCTTGGCGGTACCACTTGTGTGCAGTCTTAGGTCCGACTCCGAACACACTCGTGAACAGCTGCGAGGAAACCAAAAGGGGGACGTAATGATTAGGAGCACGAGAGGTGAGGTGAGGCTAAGTCTGCGGGATCCTGTGCTTCAAAAGAGTCCATATGGAAATGAGTTTTAGAGAGGAAAAGGAAGAAATATCACATACAATTTAAATTAAACGTACTGAGAAGAAAGACAGGAGCACTTTACTATATTATACACAGTGTTGGGAGTAACAGATTACATGTACCAGAGAGTTATGTAATCAGAGTACAAATTATGAGTAACTGTGTTCAGTTACAGTTACTGTTTCAGTGAGTGGTAATTGGATTACAGTTACTTGTTGAAATAAATGGATTTCATAGCGGTATTTTCCTGTTTTCACATTCCCCTTTTTTTTTTCTCTTCTTGGTAATTCCACTCATAGCAGGACACTAAACCAGGTCTAAAACCAGGACTAAACCAGGTCTAAAACCAGGACTAAACCAGGTCTAAAACCAGGTCTAATACAGGATTTAACAGGAATAAACCAGGTCTAAACCAGGTCTAAAACCAGGACTAAAACAGGATTTAACAGGAATAAACCAGGACTAAACCAGGTCTAAAACCAGGTCTAAACCAGGTCTAAAACCAGGACTAAAACAGGGTTTAACAAAAATAAACCAGGTCTAAACCAGGTCTAAAACTAGGTCTAAACCAGGTCTAAACCAGATCTAAACCTAGGTCTAAACTAGGTCTAAACCAGGTCTAAACCAGATCTAAACCTAGGTCTAAACTAGGTCTAAACCAGGTCTAAACCAGATCTAAACCTAGGTCTAAACTAGGTCTAAACCAGGACTAAACCAGGTCTAAACCAGGTCTAAACTAGGTCTAAACCAGGTCTAAACCAGATCTAAACCTAGGTCTAAACTAGGTCTAAACCAGGACTAAACCAGGTCTAAACCAGGTCTAAACCAGGACTAAACCAGGTCTAAACCAGGTCTAAACCAGGTCTAAAACTAGGTCTAAACCAGGTCTAAACCAGGTCTAAAACCAGGTCTAAAACAGGATTTAACAGGAATAAACCAGGTCTAAACCAGGTCTAAACCAGGTCTAAAACCAGGTCTAAACCAGGTCTAAAACCAGGACTAAAACAGGATTTAACAAAAATAAACCAGGTCTAAACCAGGTCTAAAACAGATCTAAAACTAGGTCTAAACCAGATCTAAACCTAGGTCTAAACTAGGTCTAAACCAGGACTAAACCAGGTCTAAACTAGGTCTAAACCAGGACTAAACCAGGTCTAAACCAGGTCTAAAACTAGGTCTAAACCAGGTCTAAACCAGATATAAACCTATTTCTAAACTAGGTCTAAACCAGGACTACACCAGGTCTAAACCAGGTCTAAACCAGGTCTAAACCAGGTCTAAACTAGATCTAAACCAGGACTAAACCAGGTCTAAAACTAGGTCTAAACCAGGTCTAAACTAGATCTAAACCAGGACTAAATCAGGACTAAAACAGGATTTAACAGGACTAAACCATGTCACGTGGACGTGTCTCCTCCTCTTCTATCAATAATATTTTTAATACTGTTAAATAAAGTCTGGGCTTTTTATTTTCTTTTAGCAGACAAAACATCTTATGTTACAATATCTTCGTCTTTGCTTCTCTACAGCAAATCAAGTAATCCAAAGTATTCAGATTACATTACTCACTTGAAGTAATTTAATGGATTCAGTTACAAACTACATTTTGGTGTATGTAATCTGTAATCTGTAGGGGATTACATTTTAAAAGTCACCTTCCCAACACTGATTATACAAAATAGATTCTTGTGAGCTGTAAGTCATGTTAGAATGTTGTTAACTCCTCAAAAACAGACCTGGACTTGTGTTTTGTTTCATTCACACGTGTCCTTTGCCTAATTGTCCAAAGCTCAAAATGTTCTTTTATGCCTTGTGATGTCATGTAGTGGTAGTTTTCAAGTTAACAACTGCCTTTTAGCTTTTGTTCAGCAGAAATGGGCAATTTCAGGTCTGAAATTATCCAAATGATTCCAGTGAAGGTGCATGGAGAGTGTAAAATCCCTCAGTCGTCAAGATAGAAATTCAATTTGTCAACTGAACAAAAGTGTATTTTGGTCGACAACGTTTCGCAGATCATCCAAGCTGCTTCTTCAGTGCTGGTGAGACGCTGGCGGACACTGCCTGAAGGGAGGAGCTAACTACAATGAAATTACTCTGAAACTAACACACCTACTTGTTTACAGTTTCTGTTAGCTCGGCCTATTCAGCTGCAGTGAGTGTGGTGTCATATCACCAGAATCATTCAGGGCCATATGAGTGTTTTTATACGTCTGGCTATTTTTTGTTAAGAAATAGAATCCTTCGTTGTTTCCTGTTTACATCTCCATCCTTAATCCTAAATTAAAACAAAGAAAACAATAAGGAAAGCCAGATCAGGTCAAGAGGTGTGAAAGCTCCTATCACAGGCCTGAATGATTTTGCTAATATGACTCCAAACTCAGTGCAAGTTCAACAGGCCTAACCAGCAAACAGAAACTCTAAACAAATAGCTGTGTTAGCTTCAGAGTAGTTTCAGTGTAGTTAGCTCCTCCCTGCAGACAGATATAAGTCAGTGTCCACCAGCGTCTCACCAGAACTGAAGAAGCAGTCTGGATGAGCTGCTAAACGTTTTCGACCAAAATAAACTTTTGTTCAGTTGACAGATTGAATTTCTCATTTTGCCAAGGTGTATGTGGTTTAAAAACACGATGGAGCACTTTCTAGAGGGTTTGTGTGTTGAATGAGTGTGAATGAAACAAAATACAACACCAGGTTTGTTGAAATCTTATACAAAACTTTAATCATGCAGTTGTAATAGAAGAAGATAAGTGAAGTCAAAAATGTCTACTGTCTTTGTACTGTCTCTAAAATCACAATTAAACTAATAGTAATAGTAATAATAAAAGGAGAAGTTATTGTTGTATTTTAAGGAAAGTTTACCATTACTTTTATTTATTGGTTTAAGCTTTCTGGTATTTGCAACAGACTTGAAAATGTGTCATTTAAATCCATTTCTATCTGATCTTTTAATGCGATTAAAATCCGATTTTTTCAAATGCGACCCAGGCCACTTGGAAATGTGCTCCTAAAATCGATACATATCTGATCTTTTGACATGCGACTTCAGTCTGAACGGTCAAGGTCAGCGTTCATCCCACCTACACGTCAGGCTCTGAGTCTTGTCCATGGTGGGAAAGCGAGGTTAGAGAGTTCTGGGGGAATCGCTGTATTCAGGCCAAACTGGAAGAGTCTTATCAGAACTGGGCATTTTTTTAAATGATCGCCAAAGAAATGTTGGTTACACTTGGTCCTGGCTCCAATGTCAACAAAAAATAAAGAACCTGCGAGCCAAATACAAGGAGGATAAAGACTCAAACAAACGAAGCGGCCGTGGACGTGTAACCTGCCCATTTTACTAAGAACTGGACCATATTTTGGGAGACAAGCCCAGCGTTTAGGCGACGTTCATGAGCACTGATCACGCTCGCTGCCTGTGACGTCGTCGTGTCTTCCAATGCTCATGTGTGACACTTTTGGGGCGTTTAAAGTTCACACTGGAGATCACATACAAGTCGCGTTTTATTGGAAATGTGAACGACCTCGCAAAAAAATCTGAATTGAGCATTAAAGCCCTGCAGTCTGAACATAGCCTTAGTATTTTTTTCTTGAGTTTTCAGACCATCTAGACCAGGGGTGTCAAACTCATTTTGGTCCTGGGGCCGTATCCAACCTACTTTGATCCCAAAGGGGCCGGATCAGAAAACTCATGGCATATAAACCCCAAAAACATAGATAAATTCAGATATTTGTGGAGAGAAACGCAAATCTATTACAAAAATCTTTCTTAATTGATGAACTCTTTCTTTTACAAAATATTATAATATTATGAACAACCTGAAACTTTAATAAAAATGCAATTTCAACACAATGTTTTAACATGAACTTGTATACAAATAAGAATAAGTCAGTTTTTTTGTGGAAAATCCTGCACTCGGCTCCACTTTTCTCATGTTGGACATTTTTCTGATGAGGGTGTCACGGTCAACAGTCAAAACGATCGTCCTTTAAAGGTTGTATGGAGGATTTTTTTTGGTTTCAAATTGTCAATGATAGCATTATAGAGGTGCAGTAGCCTTGTAATTATGATGACCAAAAAAAAGAGAATAAAAATTCATCAACTCTGGACGTGGTGGGGCTAAACATTTGCCAATAGATAACGACACTGCCTCGTTATCTGTGAGCTGACAGGCTGTCAATCAAACTCCCTACGTTTCTAGTGTAACTGACTTGCCTGCGCCGCCGGTACGTGGTTTACGTACGACTGTCACGCAGTCCACAGACGCAAGACGCACAGACGCTGTTTACTCCACCAACGCAACAGTTCTTAGCGGCTTTTTTTGACCTATATCTTCCTCGCAGTTCGCACAAAGTTTGTTGCAATGGCGACAAGAATCCAGGAGCAGTTCGCCGCAAAAGAAAGTCCGTTTTTGAGGTCGTTGAAAGAAGAAGACAAGGGGAAAAGCAGCGAAAGCCAAACTAAGGTGATTCTTGAAGATTCATTCCAGCGATGGCGCGACTGAAGCAGACGCAGGGTCTAAAGACTGACGCACTGGTCCACAAATTACTCCTGGACAGGAAACTTCTGCTTATTATGAAAACGTACTTTATTTCCAAGAGCTAGACAAACGTTTTTCAGGACACGAAAGCGATATCCTATGTCTGAAAACGTAATTTTCAAGGCAAAGAAAGAGTCCGCTTGCTGCTGCGTGTTGTAGCTAGTTCATTCGCACTGAATCTCCGCGCACTCTTCTCTGCACCCTTTCCTGCTCCTGTCCCCGCTGCCCGATCCGCTCTTCCCCCTGCTCCTCACTTCTCCATCTTGCCTAACCAACACTGTAGTTAGTTGTTTACAAGTCATGTGCACCGGCTGTAAACAAACCTGTTTGTGGCGTAAGGAGGAGGCGGGAGGAGGCGTTTCTACGTAGGAGCTGTAGGGGAGGGGGGGTGGTTTCACGCATGCGCAACATTTGAAAAAGGACAAACAGTCGCTGGATTTCTCGTTCCTTGGAAAATCCTCTATACAACCTTTAAGAGCGTTTGGAAAGAGACAAGTCTTCATCTGTGCTGCTCTGGTGGGAGGGGCCACGTACAGAGACACTGGAGACGCTGCTGTGATAAACACCGCAGAAAATTAACAATGTTTTAATAGAAAATATAATGAAAATATTTTAGTAGAAAATCAGCCGAGGGCCAGATTAAAGGTCTTGGAGGGCCTTATGTTTGACACCCGTGATCTAGAACATTCCACCGTAGACATGCATGCGGAACCCCCCAGCGTCACGTCACTGCAAAAAATATCAATAACGTCAGGGAAACAAATGGGTGACGAATCCTCCAACGCAGTAAAGTTACATACGGAAAGACGAATCCAAGTAGATAAAAACACGACAGAGGTTTGATTTAAAATAGTGTTGATTTTAGAGCACGTATGAACACCAGGATCATTACCGTTATATTTTATTTTCATTATCGTGTTGTCATATTCCCAGATCAGCACATTTTCCTTTCATCGTTCATTCTGTCTTGAGCAGCCCAGAGTCTGCCTTACAAACACAATGGATTCTGTTTGACAAAGACGCCGCTCTGCTCCTCTGAGGGGGCCGTCCAAAAGGGTTCGTGCATAATGTGACGAAGAATTTTTTATTTTTTTTTTCTTGAAACGACGCCTGAATGTGTTAAAGACGGGGTATTATGCAAAATCGATTTGTTTTCGCTTTCTGCCGTGTTATAACGACGTTCCCTCGTCAAAAACACGCCTGGAGAGGGTTTAGATGTCACCCGCGCATGTTTGAGTAATTTAGTGATCTCTCTTCAGGGTTTGCTGTAAGATTCTGATTAATTCTCCCACACGAAAACTCTCCATAAATAAACAAAAACATGATACGAAACTGTACGCAGCAGTGGTACATAGTTTTATTAGCGGGATTGGGTTGTGAGAGCTCTGAAGGGGGAGTGATTTAGTGCAGGGAGCAAAGGCAAGAGAGGCTCAGAGTGTCAAAAACTAAAGAGAAACTTATAAAAACTTGTTAATACATTTGTTTTGGATGAATATAACATTTCCAAAACGGTAAAAAGTAACATGGTGTTCTAAAGGTGCTTTTGACAGTATTTGTTGTCCAGACGCAGCCGCGATTCATTTGCAAATTATTTGACCAACAATGGCCAATACAGAGAATGTAACACTCGAAGATCAGAGCAAGAACCAATGTGCGAAGGTGTGGCTCCAGAGTGAGTCAAAATTGGAGGTGCGTAACCCTGTTCAGGACCTGCACGCCCAGAGACGACCTGGTGTTCCCCGTGTTTATGTACCAACCAGCATTTGTTATTTTAGGCTTTAATTAACCAAATAATTTTATGGCAATAGCCTATTCAATTGATACAACTTCAAAAAGTCCCTGCTTTTAGCCTAGTGTGAGAAATACAGTCGGACTAGATCCAAACCAGAGTCCTGAACCAGCGGGAGCAGCTCCGGTTCAGGCCGGGCTCAGAGGAGCTGGAGCGGGGAGCCTCGACCTGAGGAAGCGCTTTCCCCGGGAAGAACCAAATGCGTGGAGGACGGACGCTCAGAACAACATATAACAAACTAAACTGGACTCACGCTTCTGTCCGGATGCTGCACCACCTCAGAACCAGCCGCGGTTCTTGAGCTCGGAGGACCAAGCGGCGCCCGGACCTGTAATCCACAGCGCATTCTCGCTTTTCCCACACGGAAACAGCGCACAGATGACGGAACATACTCGCTCGGACTCAGTCCATCAAGCACTGGTCTTGCTCGCGACCGTTTGGAACCAGCACATGGAGGATGGAGCCTCCGGACCATCTGACCAACGCGCTTGTAGAACAACAGAAGACCAAGGACCAGACCCCAGCCCCGTCCTGAGGAGCTGCGCTACTGTGAGCGCTGCTGCTGTTACCCGAACTCTGGGCTGATGCGGTGAGCAGTGTTGGGAAGGTGACTTTTAAAATGTAATCCCCTACAGATTACAGATTACATACACCAAAATGTAGTTTGTAACGTAATCCATTAAATTACTTAAAGTGAGTAATGTAATCTGAATACTTTGGATTACTTGATTTGCTGTAGAGAAACAAAGACGAGGAAATCTTCACATAAGATGTTTTGTCTGATAAAAGAAAATGAAAAGCCCAGACTTTACTGAACCAAATTAAAAATATTATTGATAGAAGAAGAGGAGACACGGGTTAGTCCTGTTAAATCCTGTTTTAGACCTGGTTTAATCCTGGTTTATTTCTGGTTTTGACCTGGTTTAGACCTGGTTTAGTCCTGGTTTATTTCTGGTTTTGACCTGGTTTAGATCTAGTTTAGACCATGTTTAGTCCTGGTTTAGCTCAAAATGTGAAAACAGGAAATACCGCCATGTAATCCATTTATTTCAACAAAGTAACTGTAATCCAATTACCACTCACTGAAACAGTAACTGTAACTGAATACAGTTAATAATTTGTACTCTGATTACATAACTCCGGTACATGTAATCTGTTACTCCCCAACACTGGCGGTGAGTTTGTACAAAGTTCTACATGTTGCTGTTTTCATGGTGATAATTTGAGATGAGGACGGCCTGTGGTTTTAACAGGAACATCAGTGTTGATAACTGGAGTATCGCTGTTTTCCCGGGAAACAGAGACACGTCAGTCAAACCAGTTTTGATTCGTTTGTCGGTGTGAACGCGGACCACACTGGAGTGTATTTGCTGCACAATAACAATTTTATTGCCTGGTGTGGACCAAATAATCAAACTAGCGGTGTGAAAATGCCCTAAGTATGTTATGTGTTTGCAGTTAATATCTCTGTAGAAATAAAATACCACCTCTGTAACTAAACTTTAATGTTACGCAGTGAAATGTGGTTGAAGTGTTTTGTGTTTCACCTTTAGAGTCTGGTACTTCTCGTCCGCCAGTATTTTCTCCACTTCAAATGAGCGGCCGTATTGAAGTATCTCCTGCAGAAAGTACAAGAACAAGAAGATTATTAATTTACAAGTGCAGATTTCTTGCATATTCTACAACAGACATGTCAAACTCAGGCCCGGGAGCCAAATTTGGCCCACGATATAATTATATTTGGTCTGTTAGATCATAACAAATATGTATTAGAGCTGCTACCGGCTACAGATCGACTATAGACACATGATTTATTTAAAATGTTGTTATTACGGTAAATGGCCACATTTTTCTATAGCGCTTTACCACCTTCAAGGAACCACTCACCCATTCACTCACACATTCATACACCAGTGTACGCAGACACTGGGGGCGAGGTGGGTTAAGTGTCTTGCCCAAGGACACAACGACAGTATACATCTGAACAACGCTCAACCAATGATGTTTTTATGTCAAGAGCAGGATTAGAACCGCCAACCTTTAGATGAATGGACAAACCCTCTACTAACTGAGCTACTTTTAGTCCTGTTTTAGTCCTGTTTTAGTCCTGGTTAAGACCTGGTTTAGACCTGGTTTAGTCCTGGTTTAGTCCTGGTTTAGTCCTGGTTTAATCCTGTTTTAGTCCTGGTTTAGTTCTGGTTTAATCCTGTTTTAGCCTGTTTTAGTCCTGGTTTAGTCCTGGTTTAGACCTGGTTTAATCCTGTTTTAGTCCTGTTTTAGTCTTGGTTTAGTCCTGGTTTAATCCTGTTTTAGACCTGGTTTAGTCCTGGTTAGACGTGGTTTAATCCTGTTTTAGTCTTGTTTTAGTCCTGGTTTAGTCCTGGTTTAGACCTGGGTTTAGACCTGGTTTAATCCTGTTTTAGTCCTGTTTTGATCCTGATTTAGTCCTGGTTTAGACCTGGTTTAGTTTCTGGCAATGAGTGGAATTACTGAGAAAAAAAACAAAAAAAAAACAGGAAAATACCATCGTGTAATCCATTTATTCCAACAAAGTAACTGTAATCCAATTACCACTCACTGAAACAGTAACTGTAACTGAATACAGTTACTCATAATTTGTACTCTGATTACTTAACTCCGGTACATGTAATCTGTTACTCCCCAACACTGTTTATAATCCAGCAGGCCTAATAGTCCGGAAAATACTGTATTTGTTTTTCAAGTTTTTTTTTTTTTTTTAACTTTCAAAAATACCAATAATTGAATAACTGCAAGGAAATTTTTTTTTGATACTTTGCGGTTGATTCCCTAGAGATGTGACGTTAACTTTAAGCACTGCTCTGTCTGATGAAAAATAAACGTGTGAATGAAGCGAAACACAACTCCAGGTCTGTTTTCGTTGAGATAAAAACATTCTAACATGTCTTAAATCTCACAAGAGTCCATTTTGTGTAATATATGAACCCTATTATTGCAATACCAAATAAATAAATGAGGTATAAGTGTATTTTTGTCAGTCTCACCCAACCCCGGTATGACTCCAGCCTCAAAAGCCTCCACTTTAACTTGCACCAGGTCATTTTGGATCTTCACGACTCTTCAATGATGTATGATTTTCTCCTTTTAAACTCGTGCAGCTTCAGATTCACATTTCCCTTTCTCCACTCTGCCCTTTTAGTTTAACACGTTTGACTCCTTCAGAACTCCTGATCCTGATCTTTTGTGTCACTAGTTTTACATCTTCAGTCTGTCTCTCAGCGCGCCGACACTCTGTTCGCTCGCACATGACACTTTTCGGTTTCCCGTTTTTGTCGTTTTCTGGTTCAGGCTTGAGGGGTTTGATCGGTTCAAAGACGCGAGTGTCGAGTTAGACGGATAAAAAAAACAAAAAAAAAACACATTTGGTGAGTTGTGGAGCTACATTTTTAAAGGTGTAAACATCTCCCGAACTACCTGTTACACTGACTTTAGGATCTCAAAAAACGAATGTAGACGAGTTTAGATGTTTTAGATTTAGAGAGAGTAACATACAAACAACAACAATTCAATCCGTTTGTAAATTTAACTTACTTTAGGTTCAAATTATTCATTTTAAACAACCTTTTGACATCATAAAATTGTATTGTTTTGCTGTATATTTAAAAAACAAAACAAAATGCAGGCTATGGTAAAGACAGACGAGGGCGCAAAGAGTCTATAGGCGAGTTTCAGATGACGTCATTGTTATTAAAAGACCGCGTTGCATGCTGGGAAATATTTTGGTCGTCAAACACAGTGCGTAACCTCGCGTATTTATCCCCGATAATGGTAAATTCCTGCTGCATTATCGGATGCACAAATAGAAGCACGGAAGAAGGAAAATGTCTTTTTCGTATTCTGAGTGAAAAGATCCGCTAACGGTGAATTTAACGGCTTTCAAACATCCGCAGAGCAAACGTAGAAGATCCTAACAAACCGTGGACTCCAACAAGTTCAACAACACATCGAGACTCTTGGAGGTTTTCATCTTTTCTGCTGTGAATGGCCCAGGAGTTTCCACCAAGTCATTGTGGATATCACCGAAGTGAATATTTGTCCAGGTAGTTGGCGATTCTGACCAGAAATTTGGTTTGTTCCACCTTTTGTCGGGGTTGAAAAGGGTGATTTGGCGTCCATCGATGCTTATGACCAATTTCTGGTCAAATGGTCTTGGGTCCTCTGCCGTTAGAGTGGATAAATAACCGGGATCAATACCCTTTACGTGCTTTCTCGCTCCGTCCGTCATGTTGAATTAGTGTTTCTTGCCGCCGACCAAAATAATTCCCAGCATGCAACGTGCGCTTTTGTCAACAATGAAACTCGCCTATAAGGAGTTACTAAACTTTGTACTGAAGTATTTTAAAGAGGCACATAGTACAATACAACAGTAAAATACATTCTGATTCATAAAAATGGTGTAAGTTAACTTAAACTTTATTGTCCACGTAGAGAAAAAGTTGTCTTTGGTTCATCATCACGTGAACACAACAAAAGTTCCATAAATAAGTTAAAAAATCTGGTGCATTTAAAGACGTGTGCCACACTTACACACATTTCATGAGTTCTGATTTCAAAATTCATATTTGTGTACTTCTTTGTCGCTAAAGGCTGTACCGACACCCTGAAGGCATCAAAAACACACCTGGTGTTGTGTTTTGTTTCATTCACACATGTATAACACAAAAATTCTGCAGTTTCACGAGAATCATGTGGATAATTTCAGCTCTACAACTGTCAATCTCTGCTGAACTAAAGGTAAAAACATGAAAACTAATACTACAGACATCACAGTTTTGTATTTTTAACTGTAGAGATGTAGGCAGACTAATAATAATAATGACTGACTTGAATAAAACAAAACTCCAAGTATCAGATGAAGAGAAGAGGTAGAGCGCTTCACTGGGTCATAAAAGAGTCAAAAGTAGCTGTGCAGGTGCTTTACTATGGAGTAAGAAAGCTGTCAAAAATATTTGTGCGCATAAAATAGAAATCCGTGCGTATTTGGCTGTAGTTGCGCATAAAATAAATATTTGTAAACTCTCAAATGAGTCCAGTCGTACATAAAATATACTGTGTGTGTTTTATCCATCAGAATACGAATTGAAAAATTACGACGTCATGAATTACAATCACCAAAAATGAAAATGTTACGATTACGCTTTCATCAGTACGAATACGAATTCACAGACGGAACTTTACTGTCAAAAATACGTCATCACTTCACAGACATTATCCATCGAGCAGAAGAAACATCGATCAAGATCAAGACTGTGCAGCTCAAGTTTGTAGCAGAGTAAAAACAGAGTAAAAGCACAAGAAGCTACAACAGAACAACAAGTGGGTTAATTAAAATCTATTGTAAAAATGTCTTGAATTCGGGAACCGAACACTGCTGTATAATATTGTGTAGAAACACCTCCTTTGAACGGGAAATTGCACCTATATGTTAGAAAACATAGTGGAGCCAGTTGGCCAACATCAGACGTAACGTTATCCCAGGGCTAATTAGCAAATATCAGGTTCTCTGTATGTTTAGATTAAAACATTCAGGGCTCCAGCCACAGCGAGCATCAGTCAGTCTGAACCTTCAGCTGCATTTCAGACAATGGGTTATACATGAGTTATAATGGGTTATAATGAGCAAATCCATCCACGTCACGGTGACGTTAAGCTTACCGGTAAATACAAATACTGTAAACATACCAAGGTGTTGCCTGTAAACACGATTGTTGCTGGAAGCTGCATTAAACTGTAATGTGTAACATTTCATTAGCTGTGACGTCTGTAACCAGGACAGTTTGGTGTTTGGTGTAAACTGGGACATTTCAGCGTCCAGAGGAACTTTTGGTGGAGAAATGCAGCTGAAGGTTCAGACTGACTGATGCTCGCTGTGGCTGTAGTCGTGAATGTTTTAATCTAAACATACAGAGAACCTGATATTTGTTAATTAGCCCTGGGATAACGTTACGTCGGATGTTCGCCAACTGGCTCCACTATGTTCTCTAACATATAGGTGCAATTTCCCGTTCAGAGGAGGTGTTTCTACACAATATTATACAGCAGCGTTCGGTTCCCGAATTCAAGACATTTTTACAATAGATTTTAATTAACCCACTTGTTGTTCTGTTGTAGCTTCTTGTGCTTTTACTCTGTTTTTACTCTGCTACAAACTTGAGCTGCACAGTCTTGATCTTGATCGATGTTTCTTCTGCTCGATGGATAATGTCTGTGAAGTGATGACGTATTTTTGACAGTAAAGTTCCGTCTGTGAATTCGTATTCGTACTGATGAAAGCGTAATCGTAAATTTTCATTTCGTGATTGTAATTCATGACGTCGTAATTTTTCAATTCGTATTCTGATGGATAAAATACACACAATATATTTTATGTACGACTGGACTCATTTGAGAGTTTACAAATATTTATTTTATGCGCAACTACAGCCAAATACGCACGGATTTCTATTTTATGCGCACAAATATTTTTGACAGCTTTCTTACTCCATACTTTACGTCTATGAAGGTTGAACTTGAAATCTCAACAGAATGTAAGCCTTACTGAAAAATGTAAAAGTGGGAAAGGTACAAACCCGAGGCACAC